CACAAGTCCTAAGACAGGTGAAAAGTAATTTTGAATACCTGATTTTAACTAGAGATGAAGATTTGCCGGTTAATATCGAGCACCAAGGCGGAATATTTCTCGCTAAAGGCTAGTAAAACATTTGTTTACCGTTAACTATGGTCTGTTCCAGCCTCCAATATCGTAGTGCAGTCGTGCAGCAAAAAGAGATGCGCCGCCCCCTTCCCTAGATGGCGCGCGTTTTATTTTTGCTTGGCTTGATTTATATTTGCGAGGACCCTACTATCTGAAAACCTGGCACAGGCTACGTTAACGCTTGAAATTGCAAAAACTTTGTTGAGATAAACTTAGAGCTTGCGTGTAATGTGCAGACACTTTTCAGCTGTAGCCCATGAATACATCCCGGGATAGCTAATCGAACGAAACCGAACCAAAAATCAATCGAACTCAATCGAACCCAATCAGTTGGATTGTTGTTCGATTGGTTCGGTAATCGAACATTATCGAACTGGACCTTTTCGGTGAGCTCGATTAATCGAAATCGTGAGTTCGATAGCCGAACTCAATCAAACCAATCGAACTCAATCGACCCGATTAGTTCGATTTTGTTCGGCAGAAAGACAAAACGTAGCCAGTTTAAATTGAATCGGAAAGATCTCCCTGGTATGTATGTAAAGCAGTTTGAAAACAGAAATATTTCAATTAACCCGGAACTAAAATTCTTATTGTTAAAGTGTTTCAAAATCGATAAATTCACACTCGAATCAAAACTGGGAACATGAACGGCACAGAAAAACCATGTGAAATGGGACTTTACCGACGTGATGTCCTTAGGGATACCAGAAAAGTCAAACTTTCTTCCATAAAGTTTCGATAATTTAAAAAGGACTACTAAATATTTCATCGACACCGACGGCGAAAGAACACGCTTGGTAGCTTTTAACCATCGCTTCCAGAATTGTTCATTTCACGCTTTGCGCACTCGGTGACATCTTTGCTGTTTTTGCGTACTCGTGTTTGAAATTGAAGCCAATACATACAACTTATTTGAACGCAACACCTTCTTTGAAACCAGATGAAACTGGTTTTATGTTCAATTGTTGCAGTGTTTGATTGGCAAAATTTTGGGGTGAGTTCGATAAGTTCAATTACCGAACCCAATCGAAGTCAATCAAACGATTGTCGTTCAATCGGGGTTCGATTACCGAACGTTCGATTGGCGACGCCAGGATACACTCACCATCCCCTTAATGATCAATGAAGGTATCTTATAAATAAAAAAGGAATAAATGCGTAAATTCTCAAAACAAATGAATTAACTATTGTACGCAATGATAGAATTATACATTTGAACCGCTAAGCCTCTTTGAAAAAATAACCCCGTATGGCACTTACAGCTGCACTTCGTGTTTGCGATTACGTGAAAATCACTTGATGCTGGTAAAGCAGTTAGAAAACTTTCCCGTTGCTGGAACCTTGCCATTGATGTCCTTGCGAACCACTTAAAAAAATAATCCGATACTGTGCTTCAGGATGTCCATACACGTAAGGAGGGGACTGTAGATGCAGCGTTTGGTCTCATTAACTCCCTTACCCGCAACAAAAGGGCGCTTTCCATCTCACCGATTCAAGGTACACTACAGTCCCTTTTCACTGGATCTTAAAAAATTATCCTTACGAAAACAAAAATGTCAGATCAATAAATCAAGTGTTTTTAGGAAGGAAACCTCTAAGGGCACCCCTTTTGAAGTTAAAAGCTTGAGGGACAAAAAAGGCTTCATGCCCAGTTAAATACCGTAAATCATCGATTAAGCGCCACTACGTATACTCCAATAAGTGCCGCAGCGCTAATTTGGGTATTCACAAATTAACGCGCCACCTTTATTACAGCGCTTGATATAAAGAGATATCAAAACCATATCGCTTGAGAAATAAGACCTCGACCAACTCGTGCGTTCTAAAGTTTCAATATGTGGAAACTTTTCAAACCTGGTTTACATAACAATTCTAGTACATATACATTGTACATATTTTATACTAAATTAAACATACCTATTAAGTACGCGCCCTATTTAATACTCTCTATATTCCCCTCAGTGTTTTACCCGTTGTTGAAATAAGCGCCGCGCCTATAACAAAAAATGAAACGAAAAAATTAAATAAGCGCTGCAGCGCTTAATCGATCATTTACGGTATACCCTAAGCAACTTATATCTTGATAATGAAACATACCTTTATATAACATGTATAGAAGCAGAACGGTTCTGGCCAATGTGCAAGGACAGATGTCATTTAAAACAAAGCTGACTTGCTGGGTATAAACATCAGGTAACGAAGCAGTTGTAAGTAGAACATTCCTTGGATCACCAACTCCGCAAAGCAACAAAGCCAGTGAATTGGAATACTCTTCTCCTTCATTCATTCACAAATTGAGCAGGTCTACCGCCGGGATATTACCCGAGTAGTAAGTAGCTCCGAGGCCTGTGTTATCCTTTTTCATCTCATGAAGCGCCTTTATTCTTTGTGCTAATTTCAATGTTTTGTCAACAGCATCGTGGCAGAACGTTTTGTGTCTTTTCCAGTCGCTTCTCTGACACTCCGTGCTGCAATAACAGGCTTTCAGACAGTTGGAACACTTCATCAGTCCCTCTTGTTCAATCGCACGCTGAATATTGCAATTTCAACGCTGCTGTCTCGCATTCGGGTTGATGTCGCCACTTGTCTTGTTTCTGACATTCCTTGGAGCAGTAATACGCCACTCTGCATCGCGAACACTGTTGAGTACAGATTGCCTCGCATCGCCAGCAATGGCTGGGTTTGTTCATGATCTTTGCTGCTATGTGTTGTCTCTGGAATATAAGAGAAATTATTAGGTTACCTCGTTGCAGAGCATTGAGTCAGCAACTGCCTTCAAAGATACTCGGAAATGCAAACAAACCTATACTTCCTGCCGGCAATGGTTATCTTTTATATCGTCTTACTGGGATCGTTTCCTCAAGATGAATCTGTTATTGGGCGTCTCAAATTACCTCGTACTTCATAGACTAATTAGCAAGATGTAGTGACAAAGACATTTGGTGCCATTAAGGATAAAGAATACACTCAATCAGATAACTTACCTTGGTATATTTATCTTTTCCTTGAATTTTAAACTTACTAAAAATAATCTGGGAGATATCGTCTTCGAGTGACCGTTATATAGCAAACCAGCTGACACCTAACCAATACTCTTCTTCTTCAAGGCTTAGTGTGCACTTCTTTTCCTCCTTCATTCGCTCATATTCTCATCACTAATAAGGTGAGACATTACTAGATATTGACATTCCGTAGAAATGATGATGACGCATTTGCTATGCCACACAAACGACTTGACACTCCTAGGTCAAATGTCAGTTGTAACAGGACACCATGACATCTGATATCAAGCCACCCACGTTACCGTAGTCATCAATGCAACAACGAATTGGGAACTAGAAAGACCAAAGCCGCACTATCCCCCCACCCCACATTCCGTGACAACATGTCTGATAAACATTTATCACAGGCACAGGGTCCGTTTGAGACTTTTTATAAGTCGAAGTCAAGAGGTAAGTAAGGGTGATAATTCACTTGACTGAACAAAACGGACGTGGCACAACAAAAAAGAGAGAAAGAGATAAACGAGCTTTTTTATCATTCTACACAGGGATTTCCGAGAATAGAGCGGGTTTTTCCAAGAACTTGAATTGCAGCATACATTAGCAGTGCAAGCAGACTCGAGTGGCAAAGCAATATTGGAGAAGCTTCCACATACCAGTTTATTTACAACTGGAATAATGGCGGTTCTGTAACATTAAAAACACAGACAAATTGCACCTCTCAAAAGTATTCGATTCGGATGAGCTTTGTCTTCTCATAGAGGGAAAACTGAAGCTAATCCTCGGTGTTCGGCCTGGTGATCTTAAACACTGAACTCATGCAATCATGAATATATTTAAATCATCAAAAAGAGACTCTTTCATGAAAGAGACTTGGACTTGGAGATTGGTGAACGTTTTGCCACGAAAGTATATTTCCTTGGCTGTTACTAAACTAGGATGCTTTGTATTCCCGTTGTCGCACGATTCCATCGATTCCGGCCAATACATCCTTTATCGTCGAAGAATTTCAATGCCGTCCCAGACGAGGGATACTCCGTATAATGGCCTATATGGGAAAGCTCCTCCCAAAAACTGGGACCTTGTTCTGGTGAAATTTCACTCGTTGAAGAGTATGAAAGGCGAGGGAAGTGTGTCATTTCGGTCTGTAAAGGACCCAAGAAAACTATCTGGTTATTCAAAAAGTGTTTTGTTCTCATAAAAAAAAAATAGATGGTGCATTTACAGCAGTTACATGGGATGCAGGGTTCTAAACTAAGTATATGACAGGGGGGGTAGCAGTTGTCAATAATAGGTATACCAACTAAAAGGGCACCTTTTCTGTCAAAAATGGTAAATAAAGAGGTTATTGGTTGGACCGGCGGGTTGGACCGGCGGGTGGATCCTCCCCCTATAAAACTTTTTTGAGTGCCCCCCCAGGCTACTAAGTACTTGAGTTACTTTACATTGTTAAGCGACATGGCAGTCTTGTCCAACGGGGCACTAACTGAGAAGATTGCCGTTGAATTGTAATGTTTTAATCGCAAGGCTGTGCTTAATGAAGGGCAGAGATGTTCTATAGCTACGCGGCGATTCTAAAAATAAGACAGGTGACACTATGAACCACTGAATAAATTAGCATATGTTAAGAAATTCTCAGAAAACACAATATATTGACGTCTCAGCGATCTGCTTCCGTGTTCATAGTGGTTCCTTCTCACAACAAGGATAGAAAATTTGCATTTATATATATCACATTGATCAAGGGTGATTCAGCAGCAACGTTGCGTAACGAACGAACTTGAAAAGACTCTATCACAAGTGAGTTGTAAAGCCTCTTCTTTAATTACTGCGACGCAGAAACAATAACGGTGTACCATATGAAAATCGCATGAGATCCCGATCATGAATAGAGTTGGTCATTGCTGGCGGTGCGAGGCAGTCTGCACTCAGCTGTGTTCGCGATGCCGAGTGGCGTATTACTGCTCCAAGAAATGTCAGAAACAAGACAAGTGGCGACATCAACCCGACTGCGATGCAGCAGCGCTGAAAAAGCAGTGTATGGGATGCGGTAGAACAGATGAAGGCATGTTAAAATGCTCTACTTGTCTTAGATCATGGTATTGCGATAGAGATTGCCAGAGAAAGAACTGGGAAAGCCACAAGGAACAATGTCATGAAGTTGTAATAAAAACAATACAGGTGGCGAAGAGTATAAAAATGAACCGCATAAATGCTCGGCTGTTCCCTGGCATGGAACGTACTTACTACTGGGGTAATGTGCCTGCTGTGGACCTGCTTAACTTGCCGATGAATGAAGGGGAGGAGTATTCGAACCCATTGGCTTTGTTGCTATGTGGAGTTGGTGATCCAAGGAATGTTCTACTTACGACTGCTTCGTTACCTGATGTTTATACACAGCAAGTCAGCTTCGTTTTAAACGACATCTGTCCTTGTACCCTGGCCAGAACCGTTCTACTTCTATATATGTTATACAAAGGTGAGATAAAAGACACTCCTTAAATAACATGTAGCCTTTTCGACTGGAATATTTTCGAAAAAGGAAATCCCCGAAATGCAACGTATTTTTCTTTAATCATTCTGTGAATGCCAGAAGGCTAGCAAATAACATTGAAAGATCTTGTTGCTTAAGAGTGGTTGTCAAAGAAAACCGGGCAAAATGTTAAAAATGTCAACGGAAGGGGGTCAACAGAATAAGTTCATAATAACATCATAGATAGGTCTGGTGGAGTAATGGACAAATATACCAAACATAGGTTCTTCACTGCTCTTGTATTAGAGGTACGAGCATCACTTTATTCGACACCTTCGGACGCCATTTTTATATGCAAATTTTCACCATTTTCTGAAACTCACAGAACCCTCAAAATTTAACGAGCGAAGTTTATTTTTTGTATGCGATACAACACATCACAGAACTACTTTCTAAAACCATAAGATTTGTTAAGTAGCCACGGACAAGACTAAAATTTTCCTATTTTATCTGACCTAAACTCAGCGTCTGCAAACGAGCAAAAAATCGGGCATGTTTGAATTGATCTACAGCGCACAACTAATATGGTCGGCCATTTGTTTCAAAATTATGACACGATATATGCGGTTTTTTCCCACGTATGCGTGCAATCATTCCTGCTACACGATATACGTGCGTTTTTTTGTCACGTATACTTGCGTTTTATTTCCAAGTATATGACCATTTTCTTACAAACGCGCATATATATGCGCTCAAAAAAGCCCATATATATGCGTTACAAACAAGCATGTGGTATATGGGGTCACAGAAAGTCGTCGTATAACAGGCACCGAATTATACCGTCAGCAAAAAACCTCCTCATGTACGATGGAGCTGAAAAGTAACTTCAGTTTGAATCAAGCATGGCCGCAATGGCCGCGTTAATTTCGAGCAAGATTTGGTTCTTATTCATTGCCCTCACAGTAGTGGTTGTTGTTGGCTCCCCGACAACGGATTTGTTGGAATCCGTCAATTGTCTCTTGAGAAACCGTGTACGGTATTTCACAAATGCTGGCCGAAACAGCGATCGATTCAGTTAGTCTGAGTCTGCTTGAACAGATTGGTTTTTCTTCTTTTCTCTCTCGCGCGCGAATTATCACCTTTTCGCCTCCACGAACACGTTCTAAGCCTCCTAGTCTCGAAGCTTCTTATTATTTCCCTGGTATTCTCACTGACTTTAATCGCCTTCCACCTGCCTCTCTTTCCTTAGTGCTCCTCCACTTTAATTGTGATTTTCATGGTCATCTAACTCGTTCTCGTTCAACTTGCATGAAATGTTCCTCAGGTATCCATTTGCTATTAGTTCTCAAGCCCCGACTACACCCAATCGCAAAACGTTGTCATAGCGAAATGAAAAAAGGAAAAAGCCAAATAGCAATTAGTTAGGCAAATAAGCCTGGTGAATTGTTTTGCAGCACCCGCACATGGACGCCGTATTTATCTGTTGGAATTTGCTATTGTTTTGAAGCTGAAAAACGATAAAAAAATTCCAGCAGGGAAATGCAGCGGCTGCAAATGAATCCACGCTGAGGATGAGGAATAATTAGCCTGATTAATTCCTATTTGGCTTTTTCTTTTTTTTTTAATTTTTTTAAGACAAAGTTATTGCAATTAGGTGTATTTGGAAGGATACTTTATTTATAACTTCAGTTTGGCGTTTTTTTTTTTGCAGCCAATGGCAAATCAGTATTTTTGATTATAGCAGCTAGTTTCGCTCTCTGCACCATAGTAGCAACCAGACGAGGAACTGCATTCTTGCAGAATTCATAACATTCGCATAGACACAGCAGTCAATTCCTACGAAGGAACAACAAGACATCGCGCTTTTGTTTAAAGACTCACTTCTGATCTCAAAAAAAAATTGAATCGGACTGCATCAGGCTATCAGCGGTTAGAATGATCTTGACTCACGAAAAGCATAATTCTCCATACTTGGCCGGTAGCTTTAGTGACCTGTCTTTAGTTTAAGCTACCGTGTACAACTCAAATCTGAAGATCTCAGTCACTATCCGTGAAAACTCAAAATCCTTGAAACACCACTTATGAGCTGGGCCCAGCGTCATACTGACATAGCAGCCCGGGAGGGGCGAGGGGGGGAGGGGTACTCAACAAATTCTTATACGGCGGAGGCCCACCCCTTAACCTTTTATACACCATTTTTCAAGATTTCGTATACCTTCTATAGACAAATGGTACTCCTTTCACATATCTTGCTTAGAACTTTGTATCCCTGCTGGAAACCCGGACTGTCATAAAATAGGAATCAGTCACAAATGTAGAACGCTTTCTCGACGGGTAAGGGGTTGGACCTCGGGGCGGAGCCTCCCCGTAAAAAGGTTTATTAAGTACCTCGCTGGGATTTCGGGCGGAGCCTCCCCGTATAGGCCATCATAGGGAGTAACCTCCCCCCGCGCATAGCAGGAAATAATCACATTCCCGTGCAAAGAAACTTACATGCATGCATGTAGTTATTCCGCAGATCCAGGATTTACGGAGAAAACCAAAGAAACTAAAATCTTTATTTAACCGTAATACTAAATTAAAGCTTTAGGCTTAAACAGAGGTCAAAGAAAATTAAAACACTTTACAACTGCATCTGAGGGCAACTCCTAGCAGGAACACCTAAAGAACCATAAACCACAAGAGATGATTACTCAGTATGCAAGTAATTCTCTGTAGTGCTAGTAACTTTAACTTTATTATTCCATAGTTCATATAGTACAAAACTCAGTAAAGCCAAAGCCGGGGGCTTATACGACCTGTGGTCAAAATGGCAGAAATTATTTTATGTAGAAATAAAGCAACTGCGGGAGGCTAAATTTCAAAACTAAAACAAGATACAAAACTTAAATTAAGTAATGCAAGCAGTCCTATAGCAGAGGTAAAACTAGAAGTGCTAGTGACAAATAAACTAACAATAAACTATGATAATCCTGCGCTAATTCAATCCAGGCTTAAAAGGTAAAGTTTTAGTTTCTATTTAAAGTCAATGGTGGTAACTGGCTGTTACGGACTCTGTGAAGGGTATGTCAGTCGGATATCCTTGGCCAAATAATCGGGGCTTGAGAACTAATAGCAAATTGATACCTGAGGGACATTTCATGCAAGTTGAACGAGAACGAGTTAGATAACCATGAAAATCACAATTAAAGTGGAGTAGCACTAAGGAAAGAGAGGCAGGTGGAAGGCGATTAAAGTCAGTGAGAATACCAGGGAAATAATAAAAAGCTTCGAGACTAGGAGGCTTAGAACGTGTTCGTGGAGGCGAAAGGTGATAATTCGCACGCGAGAGAGAAAAGAAGAAAAACCAATCTGTTCAAGCAGACTCTCAAGGTCATGTTTCACATTATCAAGAGCTTATGAGTCGTGTTTTGCCTGACGGACGCTAATTTCTAACTGGATCGATCGTCGTTTCGGTCAGCATTTGTGAAATAGCGTACACAGTTTCTCGAGAGACAATCCACGGATTCCAACAAATCCGTTGTCGGGGAGCCAACAACCACCACTACTGTGAGGGCAATGAATAAGAACCAAATGTTGCTCGAAATTAACGCGGCCATTGCGGCCATGCTTGATTCAAACTGAAGTTACTTTTCAGCTCCATCGTACATGAGGAGGTTTTTTGCTGACGGTATAATTCGGTGCCTGTTATACGACGACTTTCTGTGACCCCATATACCACATGCTTGTTTGTAACGCATATATATGGGCTTTTTTGTGCGCATATATATGCGCGTTTGTAAGAAAATGGTCATATACTTGGGAATCAAACGCAAGTATACGTGACAAAAAAACGCACGTATATCGTGTAGCAGGAATGATTGCAAGTATACGTGGGAAAAAACCGCACGTATATCGTGTCATAATTTTGAAACAAATGGCCGACCATAAACTAAAACGACAGAACAACTCTTACATCCAAATTACAGTCTACTATCATCCGTGTAACCAAAACACTGATAATCATTTTGGGCCATTGAAACGGGAAGAAATTAGAAAACTCACATTTGTTATAGTTTCCAAGTTTTTTCTTGCAAACAGGCCGATCCCTTCGTGTTTGTTTTAAGGCGTCTTCGTGAATTTTCTTTCATATTTCGCTGTAAGGTATGTTCAGCAGCTGGAGGACATATCAAAAAGCTCGAAATACTGCCTAAGTTACATTTTGAAAGGGCAAAAAGTGCTGAACGATAGGATGAAACTAAAAAATAACAAAGGGACGCCATCTTGAAAATTCAGCACTCAGGAGGGACTGACACTAGTAGCTGCGTTCGATATCTAACATACGGACAAACATTGCCAATTTTTCACAACTCCGTTGTCTCGCAATTCGCAAAAGAGACTTGAGCACATAGAAAACCAAACCTAATATAGAAATGTAACCAGAAAGCCTCGGATTCATGTTAGAATTTTTCTTTATCGAACGTTGGCTACTACGAACTATTACCAGAAGCCTATTACCAATAAGATAAAAAACAAAAAACAAACAAACCAGCTTATCAGCGACCTACTCCAGTCTTATTTTTTCTTCAATTACTTCTTTTAGTTGAATTTAGCTTGTTTTTCTTTCAAAGGAAAAAACAAGAAGAACGCCTGATCGCAGGTTAATTGGTGATTAACTGGCATTGCTTTATTCCCTCCTCATTTCGAGGTGTCCCGTGAATGTAGATAATATTAAAGATCTATTTTGTCTCTTTATGAATCACTTAACTTCGCTCTCATGCGAACTAGCTAGACTTGCTATATATCAACCTCGAGAGTTTCTAAGCGCGCGGGCTAACTACGGGCAGTGGATATTGCTTGCTGTAAAATTTGCAATAATTTTTTAATTATTACCAACTGTAAAATAAACAGTTGAATCAGCGGTGCGGAGCAGGCATTTTAGGCCGCAAAGGGGCCAAGACAGCGGACGAAGTAATTTCTGAAAGTAAGCCTTCTAACTGATGATCTCATTGCTGTCACTTCGCATTTCCATAAGGTAATAGACTGATGACAAGAGCTGTCAAAATAAACCATTCCTAGGGTTTACCAGAATCTGGTATACCGGAAGGATCCGGAAGGAGCTTTTCTTAAAAAGTACCATTATAGGAGTTCCTACGGCTCTGACTCCGTACCCCTTCCCCTCATTGTTTTGCCTGCTCACTCTCTTTTTCAGAATGCTCTTTGCATGGTCCACACAAGATGAACACCACGGGTCCGGACGAGTTTTTTACCTGTGCAATCCGTTTAGAGGGAACGTGCAAATTCTCTTGCAGATTGCAATACTTTTTGCAGCTCAAATACATCACGGTTCCGCGGGTCGCACGTAAAGAAAAGGAGGATCCATGCAAGTTTTTGGCAGTTCAAAAATTTGTAAAAGGGGTCATAGTGTTAACTCGAGTTGGTACCTTTTCCGGCATATTGATCATCGATAGAAATCGTACACCTGGAAGTTTACAGCCACTAGGTTCCTTTTTGTTTACTGGTGTAGTCGTGAAAGAATTGACATCTCCTACATCTCTTCGTCACTGGATTTGTCAAAAACACTCTCACTACGGTGTTTAACACGAGCAGAAACACGTTGACAGTCCTCACATTTAGAGTAATCGTCCAGGTCTTGTCTTAAATTCAGAGGAGGCAATGATAACAGAAATGGAGTTTATTCATCTGCTACGGAGGTAATTTCCAACGCCATTTCGTTTGTTAATCCTTTCCACGGCGCAGTTGGAAAAAATGCGCGAGCGAGTCACACGAGATGGCACAAAATGTGCTAAAAATAGTACATTTAATGGCTAATATATATATTTCGATGAGGTCAACCCCATCCCTGGAAAAGGTATCGAGTTACGGTCTACTACCCCGATGTATATATAGATGGCTCCTGTTAGAGTATAAAAAAGTAATTTTGTGCAATTTGGCAGCGTAATTAGAGTTGCTAGATAACTCTGTCCGCCATCAGGAGCCCTTAAACCACAATTAAAACAAAAAAAATGGATGAGTAAAGACTATATATCAATATTAATATTAATCTTGTAAAAATTCTAGTATGAGCCATTAAAATTGTTGAATGACCTTCTTCACCTCAGACACTCGTGTCAGTCAAGTGTAAATCGACGTCCGCCATTTTGAATTTTGTTCAAAAAAAACCTCTGACCTAGCAGCACAGCTGCATCTTGCGCCCATCATCTGCCCCCAAGGGGAGAGGATCTGGCTCCTTTTTCATAGGAAATTCATAAATTGTCTACTAAAACACTGTGCAATATGGAAGCAAGGTCAATTTAAGCACTAAAAGCTGCTCAGATATCTCAGAATTGGAAGAAAACTAGTAAGAGAAATTGCTCAGAGATTATGGAAAAAGTTGCTTGAAACGAAAAAAGTTGCTCGAAATACTACAAGTTGCCAAAAAGTTGTCGAGCAACTTGTAAAAAGCCCTAGGGAGAAGGGGGGGCTACTCAATAAAGCTTTGTTCGGAGAGGCTTCTCCCCGAAGTCCAGTACCCTTAAATATACTATTTTTCACAAAAGGTACCCCTTTCGTGTATCTTCCATTGAAAAGTTGTACCCTTTTCATATATCTGCTTCGTGAGAATAAGAAAGGAGGTCTTCCGGTCATTTTCGAGTAACCTTAACATGTAAATGATATTGCCATAAGGCGTGTTTCTTCGAAGCATTTTAATAAAAGGCCCTTTAGAATACTTAATGAAAGATTTTTGTCTCCTTTCACGTACTTCAACTTGTGATTTTCCTACCCTTTGTTACACCTGATGCTTGAAAGAGGTACCCCTCGGGCGAAGCCTTCCGGGCTATGAAACTGTGCATCATAAAATCAGGAACGGGAGATGAGTGGACCTTCGGACATAGACGGCGATTGAAGACTGACGCAAAAATAGATGATACAATTAAGAGTCCAAAGAAACGCAAAGACTTATATGGGATAACTCAAAATGAAGTGAATGAAGAGCAAATGAAGACTGAATAAAGTAATGCCAGTTGGTCACCTGTTCACCACACCCCATCACTCAGCCCAAAAAAAAAACGACAACACAAAACGAGCTAAATTTAACTAAAAGTAGTAACTGAAGAAGAAATAGGACCGTAATAGGTCGCTGATAAGCCGGTTTGTTTGCTTTTGTCTGGTATCTGTTTGGTAATTCATCACTTGTGGACAACGCAGCTACTAGTGCCAGTCCCTCCTGAGTGCTGAATTTTCAAGATGGGGTTGCTTTGTTATTTTCTAGTTTCATCCTATCGTTCAGCACTTTTTGCCCTTTCAAAATGTAACCTAGGCAGTATTTCGAGCTTTTTGATATGTTCTCCAGCTGCTGAACATACTTTACAGCGAAATATGAAAGAAAATTCACGAAGAGGACTTAAAACAAACACGAAGGGATCGGCCTAATTGCAAGAAAAAGCTTGGAAACTATAACAAATGTGAGTTTTCTAATTTCTTCCTGTTTCAATGGCCCAAAATGATTATCAGTGTTTTGGTTACATGGATGAAAGTAGACTGCAATTTGGCTGTCAGAGGTGTTCTGTCGTTTTAGTTGTGCGCTGTAGATCAATTCAAACACGCCCGATTTTTTGCTCGTTTGAAGACACTGAGCTTAGGTCAGATAAAATAAGAAAATGTTAGTCTTCTCCGTGGCTACTTAACAAATCTTATGGTTTTAGAAAGTAGTTCTGTGATGTGTTGTATCGCATACAAAAAATAAACTTCGCTCGTTAAATTTTGAGGGTTGTGTGAGTTTCAGAAAATGGTGAAAAGAATTTGCTTATAAAAATGGCGTCCGAGGGTGTCGAATAAAGTGATGCTCGTATCTCTAATACAAGAGCAGTGAAGAAACTATGTTTCGTATATTTGTCCATTATTCCACCAGACCTATCTATTTCTTCTGTTGACCCCCTTCCGTTGACATTTTTTAACATTTTGCCCGGTTTTCTCTGTCAATCACTCTTAAAACATGAACAAATGACAGCTTTTGTCTGTTCTTGTCCACATGTACGTTCACTACATGTACACGGCAAGAGATCATTTCGGCTTGGTTTGTTGGGTTTTACATTTCGTAACACGCGCTATTACTCCACAGAACTTTTTTTTTTCAGTTATCACCCTATTCACTTGCATGCATGGGAACGTATAATTTATTAAAATGATAAATAAAAAAAAAACATGAATTTAAATAATGCGATAAACACACCAAGATAAAAAGGTCTATAGTCGTTGAGTCGTTTTGTGGCTGATTCTCCAAATAAGTGCAAAAGGGGAATTCGGAGCCTTCTCCGTGACAATCAGCTAGGATTAGCCTTTTAGATGAACAGACATAAAGTCTCAAATGATCCCCTAGCTTTCACCGCATTCAGAACTGGCTTTTTTTACTGCTGCAAGTAAAATAGGTAATAGCGTCATTTCATTGCTATGACAACTCCGATGTCATTGCAACCCTGATCATAACAAATTGTCATCTTTATCTAATACAACTGTGGTGGCCATTTTTCCAAATATTTGTTCATGGCGACGTAGTTTATGCTCAAACTTGGGAGGTATTGACCCTAAAAAACTGTATCGAGCCACCTTAACAGACGTTTTTTACCACGTAATGGTACCCCTGAGAACTGTTTCTGCCTAATGAAGTCCTATGTAGGTGCATCCACGCGAATATGTATGCATAAATTATGGAGAGACAGAAGGCAAATTCCATGGAGAACATCACGTACTCTGAGTTGGGAAAAGAAAACATACAAGCTATGATGGTCTATTGTTAAGAAAGTGTTTGCACATTTGAAAACGTTTGATTTCACAGAACGTAGGATGATATAGATCAAAAATGAAGCTTTGACATGATTTTTCTCCCGCAATGAATAAGCATGCAGTGTTCAAAACAGAGGCTATCTGGGTCAGTTATCAAGTACTCCTATGCCTACGTTTTATCAAAACTGTCTTAAAGATGACTTCTTTTAATGAACCGCAAGCGTTGATTACCTTTACTATAAGACGGTCATAACAGTGGGATCGCTTTCTCTTCATTACGCAGCCTTTAAAAAGCAAAGGAAAGACAAGTAATATGGACTAAACAGAGTCCATCTCAGCAAAAGAACACTGGTTCCTCCGAGACTCTTGTTTCTACTTGCATGGTTATATTATAATTAAAATTGAATACTTTTTTCATCTTGCAGGACAAAATGACGGAATTGGTACTGTAACCCGGATATGGTATTCGCTACGAATTTCAGAAAGCGATTTTTCACTGCTGATGTCCGCGCTGCGCGACCTTTTGGACGCTAGTGATTTAAACACTCTAACGAATGGCTTCGTGAACATGGTGTCAGTTGATCAACTGGGTAAGCTGAAAGAGGTGTGGCAAGTTTGGGTCCAGTTGTCTTCTCTCACAGGACCCTGGGTAACTAAACAAAGAAATGACGCCTTCGAAAGCGATACTGGATCAGAAGCTGGGATTTTTAACTATCTAAACTCGATCCCAAAAGACCACAAAAGATCTGCTAAGTTGTGGATGAAAGATGGGCTTTTTGCCTCAAAATGCGTGAAATCATCGAAGTTAACGCGAGAGAACGTAACTCTAACAAGTTATCTATTCCAGTATGAGCCTGGAGAACAAGACGACTACGACTTCAACATAGAACCCAGCAATCTTCCCTTTTCAAGCTGGGATTACAAAGCCATGACGAGTGTCTGCTACAATGATTCGCTTCCAGAGATGTTCAGCACTTACCTATCATATATCATGAACAAGTGCATTGACAAACTGAGAAGTGGTCGGGTGAAGTTGCAGGTGATACTATCTGACTGCATGATGATTGATCCATTCCTGCCTGTCGACCTTACATACGACCGTATCGCAACATCAAATCTAAGCGACTACATTTCCCTTCCCTCCTTACTAACAAAATTCAAGGGGTACTTGAATACCAGCAACAGTCATTCAGTCTTAATGACTGAAATGCATAATTGGGTGGATGACTATTTGCCCGAAGTGAAAGCTGATGTATTTTTGAGGGCCCCTGAACTCACACCGAAAGTTGTGAAGGACACAAACAATCCATTACTTGTGGCGACAGGGCACTTGACGAGCTTAATTGAATACCACAACATTATTCCAGACTTCCAGCTCTACCTCCGTGCCGCGCTTATCGAGTCATACAGTGAAACAGAATTGGAGTCTTTCAGGAAACAAAGGAAGAAGCTTCCATCCATAAAAACTATCATTTCTGATTTGGGCCTTGAGCTACGTGACTATGTGAGAAATGAAAACACTGTATTTCCCTTCAAGTGGGCTGTGAACTGCCGTAGAGTCAACTTGAATAGGGGAGATGAATTTACTTTAGAGTGGACCCTTCCCACGTCATCTCAGTAGTTTATTACTGACGTATTCGCCCAGCCACACAATCTACTCTTTAGGTCTACTAGAGCTTTGAAGTGTTTTCTCTGCCGTGTAACTGAAAATTAGTATAGAGGTCAGTTCAGATGACGTTCCATTTTGGATCGACCAATTTGCACAGTCAGCTGCTTCCTTTACCAGTTACTTTTTTACTAGCGCTGGGTTAAGACGTGTAGTTGGGATCCACGTACTTTACAGTCGTTTGTTACCGGCACGATTTGGAGGTACTTTCAACAGCTTGCGAAAGGGCAGCTCTCTCGGACGCTATTGCTTTATAGTACATTAGTATGCACTTACAATTCAAGTTCATTTGAGGACAAAATGTACCACAGCGGAAACGTTTGATAACTTTTGGTTTAGTTCTTTTGTTTGCCGAAAGGTACAGTCTCTTCTATTTTTTGAAAGATAAACTTACTCTGAATTTCAACGTGGCTCTTATTGCGTCCTTACTGAAAACACCTGAATCAAAGATAAACGGATTACAGCGAGAATGTTTATGTTTTCTGGTAAAAGTATATCAGTTTGGTGCAAATTTGTTTTTACTTTAGTACCAATGAGATGAATTTAATTGCAATAGAGAAGTAGACGTGATTCATTAGTACCGGTTGCAGCGAAAACATCTTTGATTTTTCTATTGACAGATGGTATTGTCTCTCTGAACTGTATGGTCATTATTGTAAATGTTCTCTCGACTGCTCCATTTCGCGAAAATGGAAGAGACAAATTAGCTTTTCCTACGTTAAGGAACTTTAAAAAGAGCGGGGATTACATAACGTCACAGTACACTTACTGAGCCAAACATTCAAATGACTTGTTCTTGAAGAAAATATCGCCCATCCTCAGCAATTTCTTCTAACTGATGATTTCTGAATATTGACTTGAGTGTGAGAGAAGTTTTTCAAACCAAACATATGTTAGGTCAGCCTGAAGATACATCCTTATAACTGGAGATGAGGCGTCTCTCTCATTGAGGCTGAGTCCAGAAAGGTCTTCGAATGGAGACGTTAGTTATCTAAGATTTGTCAAAATTTTGACAGGTGAATTGATGAGAAAAATTGAAGCAGCTAGAAATTTGTTTACCAATAACTAAAGCCCTTTGCAATTATTGGTTATTCATTTTTTATATGAAAAAAATTCCACCGCCGACCGAAATGAAATACAAGTTACACAACTGCTACCAAGATTCTTTTCAACCTCGTTCCCAAGGTTCTCTCTCTTGCTTCGTGACAATGAACTCCTCACCAGGGACATCAATCATTATCTGAATATGGCCTAAGCCTCGAGGCAGTAATATATATTCAGGCACATGCTATTCGTTGTGAAAAGTTACATACAGGGGCGAGGTTTGTTTATGATTGTTCTTTTGAAACAATGTTTTCAGCGCCGTAGCTAGTATGAGGCCAACCGAGGCACTCGCCTCGGTAAAATTTTGACGAATTTCGCCGATCATTTTTATTTTACATAAGCGATCATCGGATATTTTTAACGCATCATGATATTAAAAAGAATTCAGCAATTCAGTCAATATACTATGAAAAAATTACCATATCATCGATCTCAAGGGGCTACGTACGTTAACTCAAACTTTTTTTGAACAAATACTGATCAAAACCATTGGCAAGGTTAACGGTCACCCAGATTATGTAGCTTGTTTCTGATTATTGCTTTTTAAATTCCACTTAAATTAACTCGAAAAAAAGTTACCGAAAGGCCCAGAAAACGCTGCAAATCGCATTTCCGAGAGACTAAAGTTCAAAATTTCTCAGGGGGGGGGGGGGGCATGCCCCCGAACCCCCTCTAGCAACTCCCGCCTACCTCGGTTGGCCGTTTGGTCTGGCTACGGCACTGGTTTTTGAAAATCGTTCTGAAAATTTTGAATTGGACCCGTTTGATTTTCAGTCTCTTTACTGTCGTGTAAATAAGAAGGTACTCACTTGACAACACACACAAAGTTTATTTTCAAAAGCAGTATTTTAATTGCCAGTGATACAAATATTTATATTCATTGTGCTTTCAAGAAGTGCTTCTATCGTGTACATCACACATATGAAATATTAAGCTCAAGCTTTTCTAGCTATCGGTAATTTTGTCAACAACACTGCTGGATTTAAATTAGCTAAACTTAGCCTAACCTTATATTTTCTTATTCGGTTCCTTTTTTTTGATCACCTTTAAATGTCGATGAAAGACAGCATGAAGAAGCAAAGTAAGTTACATTTGATTTATATTTCAGGGTTTTTATGGATTAAAGTCGGGTCTCAGTTCTGTATCGAGGTCGGCCCTTGCACTGACTGGTTTGCAAGGTTTGCATGAGAACAAACCTTTCCAACCAGAGGCCTTAAATTCTTGATAACTGAAAGTATTGTATTAACTGGAGATGCTAAAATTGGTTTGTTTCCTCTTCATCTCATAACATGATTTCGAAACCTGACGGCTTTTCGGCTTTAAGTTTGCTGTTCTTAATCGACCGGTAACCGGCCCCACGCAATACTTACTTTCCGAGAGTCATGACAACAACTTGAACTTTGCTATAAACTTGTTCTGATAACTTCAAAGTAATGCTTCTCTAGCTTGCAAGCTCTCCAGTGTATTTTGTTCCTTTCTCACAACGGCGACAATTTTATACTATACTACCCCTCCTATGAGGTAAATTCTTGTTAGCCCCGGATTTGGGGGGCTATGTGACCACCTGCAACCAGAGTTCTTTCTCGAAGCAAGAGAGAGAACCCTGGCAACGAGGTTGGATTCTCTTCTCTTATCCAAAACTGTTTTGTTTATCCTATTATGAAACAATCTGTATAATTCAAGTGAAGAAGAAGATGAACAAAATAACAATGATAATAATAATAATAATAATAATAATAATAGTAATAATAATACTAATAATAACAACAGTATTAAGTTAGATCTGGTATGCACGGACAGCACACTTCTCTCTTCCTTTGTATTTCAGAGCCAAATTACGTTAGTATTTCCTTCTATAACATCATTAAAAAACTTGGAGAAAAAATTCCTAGAATTAAAATTGGATTTAAGAGTACTTCCTGTTTTCAACACTGAGAGTCGTGCTAAATCAGCACACGTTTCATTGCTGTGAGAGATTTAATTTGTTTCACTTTGCCGCAGCCATATCTAAGGTAGAAATTAGTTTCCATTCCATTGTTCTGATATAGCCTCTCATCATGTTAACTCTACGACAATTAACCGCCCATTTAAAAGGAAAAACGGTGTTTTCGTTTCTAATAAAATCCCGGAGATATAGTCCTAGGGAACGCACTAGACTTTTCACAGATGGGATCTTCTTTTTTCTGTCAAACGCAGCGAGTTCTTTCTCTGTACAAGATACTAGAAGAGATGCACGCAGATACAAGACAAATTCATCACTCAGGTTTAAATATTCGATAACCGTAGAATTACCTGAAGAGAAGACCATTTCTGGATCTTGCGTGTCCTTTACAGCCCTCTCATGCAGTAAATCACTACAACTATTTGGCAGTTTCTCAACGATTTCCGGCAAAACGTTCGGCATGTTGATTGTTTCAGTCAACAGGACTGCATGAGGATTCGACCTATTTAAAAACCTCTTCATCTTTGTCAGTAACACGGAAAGGGGTAGGTAATCCCATAAGTTGGAAGTGGTATAATGCGGTCATACGTGATAATCGCAGGAAGATGCGCCTCGATCTCTAGAGCATCGCAGAGAATAAAACGGAACTTAACACGACCAGCGTTCATCTTTTCAAGGGACTTCTGTAAAATCTGGGACACGTACATGGAGTACATCTCTGGAAGTGAGTCATAATAGCAGATTTTCTTTATCGCCTTGTAATCCCACCCAGTGAACGGATGCAGATCTCAAGTCATGCTGTAGTGAAAGTCAGCGCATTCTGTAAGTGGACTAAGTAAACGACCAGTCAAAGTAGGATTTTATCGAGTTAGTTCTTCAGTGGGATTTGCTGTAGAGGGAAAAATGCCCGTGTCAAAATACTTTTTCGCAGAATTTCTGTGTGGTTTTGGGATGGTATCCAGGTAACGAGATAGTCCAATCTGAACTTCTGGCCGATCAGCGGAGAAAACCATTTTCCTTTCATTTGATACCCATGGTCCTTCGCGCTCTGACAAGCGAAGCCACGCTGTCCAAACACTCCTAAGCTGTTCCATTTGCTCAGCAGAAATCTCCATCACTCCTTTAGTAAGACTGCGTAATTCGTTAGTTGTAGCAAGGTCTCGAAGTGATGAGGTCAGCAAGACGAAGTCTTCTTCAGAAATGCAGACTGAATACCAAATTCGAATCATGGCATGAAAGATGTTATCACCTCCTGCCAATGTAAAAGAAGAGAATGGGTGTTGAATATTAATATAATTAAACTTTGATCTTGGGGTCACTATCCACACTTAGCGATAGTAGTAAATCCACTGAATAAATAAAAAATATGGGTTCTTTGAGATTTGAAAACCAAATTTAAACAACAGCAGTAACTTCAGATGCTACACCTAAATAAAACTTATTAGTTCCTCGCGACCACAAGAATAATTTGTTTGTGCCCTGCTTGACATCACATACTGTCCCCAATAGTCTCGATAAACTAGCTGGATACAGTGGGCAGATAATTTAACGCAAGAATCTCATCTTCGGTCGGTAGAAACAAAACACCGATACGATCGATGGGCAAACTCTAAGAACATAACAACAGAAGAACATTGTCTTCCTCGTAAAATGTCGTTAAATCCTTCACGACTTTGTTGTGCTTAATGCTTCCAGCAAAAGTAAGTTTAATTATGGTATGACTGAGTCACGGATAGTGGTGCAGCTAACAGCAATAACTTGAGTACCTAAAAAGTACCCACTTACAAGTCTATTTCTCACCAAAGAAAGACGGGTACCCTAAATGTGCTGCATCGACAAACTAGCCATATGAGACTGGTCACAGCTATGTTTACATTGATAGAGGAGAAGCATGAAATTGTTAAACAATAATTCCTTGTAGACATATTAAATTCTGCAAGCAGAATACTGCAATGCTGATCGTACTACGTGAAAATTAACTCTGCGAGACATCAACACGACACCGAAAGAACTCAAAACAGAGCGGGATTGTAGCCATAGACAGCCGTTTCGCCCTTTTTGGGGCTCGTCAGTATGGCGCAACAACCAGAGAAAACTCTGATAAAAAATATCCGCGCACACTGATTTTAAGCCCTGACCCAGAACTCTCAACACCCACAGAATCACGCCATAACACGGGTCTTCTGGAGGGCAAGAGTCCAAGAGTCAAGTTGATGTCTCGCAGAGAAAATAAAGAATTGGCCAAAACCAACCTCAAAAACATGGACAAAACCATGCAAGAATTACAGCATAATGGATCTATAAAAGATCTACGGACCAAAAATTCATAAAGTACAAACATTAACCATAAAGGACTGCAAAGGACCGCAAACGAATATGCCGAAGGACGTAGGATCTATAAAGACCTGATCAGCAAAAATAATAATGTAGACATATTAAATTCTGCAAGGGCGAAACAGCTGTCTATGGCTACAATCCCGCTTTGTTTTGAGTTCTTTCGGGGTCGTTTTGATGTCTTGCAGAGTTAATTTTCACGTAGTATGATCAGCATTGCAGTATTTTGCTTGCAGAATTTAATATGTCTAAATTATTCCTTGTTTACATCCAATAAGGCGTTAAAGTTGATGCTTCAAATAAAAAACTCCTTAGCTAATCAAGCAAAAAATGTAATCTCTTAAAAAAGTGTACAATAATTTACAAACATTAGCAAAAATACCTTTGTATAACATATAGAGAAGCAGGACTATTCTGGCCAGGGTACAAGGACAGATGTCATTCAAAACGAAGCTCACTTGTTGAGTATAAACATCAGGCAGAGAAGCAATGGAAAGTAGAACATTCCTTGGATCACCAACTCCGCAAAGCAACAAAGCCAGTGGGTTCGAATACTCCTCCCCTTCATCCATCGACAAATTGAGCAGGTCCACAGCAGGCACATTACCCCAGTAATAGGTGGAGAAAAGGCCCTTAAAACTATTTTTAATTTGCAAAACTTCCTTTATTTTGTGGACTAATACCAACGTTTGATCAACAGACATCTCGCAGAAAGTTTTATGCCTTTTCCAGTCTTCTCTTTGACGTTCTGTGCGACAATAACGGGCTTTCAAGCAGTTAGTACACTTCATCATTCCCTCCTGTTCATTATTGCAGGCGAAACACAGCATTTTCAGCGCTGCTGCATCGCAGTCTGGTTGATGTCGCCACTTGTCGCGGATCTGACATTCCTTAGAGCAGTAGAATGCTACTCTGCATCGCGAACACTTTTGAGTGCAGACTGCCTCGCACCGCCAGCAATGACCAGCTCTGTTCGTGAGTTCAGTGATGTCATCCGCTTAACAGAATTTCATCATTTCACTGTCGAACTAATTCAAGAGACGTGAATAGACTTAACAATAATAATATTAATTTGTGACCATGTCTTTTGTTCACTTAGTGTAATACGAAGGCCCCATTGTATGAATATTGTAGAGCTTTTGTGTCTTATGCGGTGATGAGGTACAGAATTTCTCGGTTAGCCATTTTAAAATGTAAGTTAAAAAGCTGTTCTTGATAGGAAATACACAGACATCAACCACCTTTTACTCGGAAACAGATTTTTAAGGATTTAATATATTCCTTTTTCTTAGAATTTCTTGACATAATTATGCTTAATTATTCATTCATATACATGTCATGTTTTCAAGGTCACATGAAATATCCGAGTCCTTCTTAAAGCCTACTGTCTGAAGTGTATCGTTTTGAGAAGGTATGTGGCGGAAAGTAAACTCTGCTGGTAACCTCTTCGACGCAAGCACAGAATCACCCTGTACATAACGTTTACGAGAAACAGGGACAGATCTTTGAAGATCTAATATATTCTTTTTTCTCAGAATTTCTTAACATATGCTAAATTATTCAGTTCATGAGGATACCTGTCATATTTTCATGGTTGTGTGAAATATCCGAGTCTATCTTTAAGCCTGCCTGGAGATCTGACAAGATCATCGTTTTGAGAAGATAAGTATATAGCGGAAAGTATACTCTGCTGGTAACCTCGACTCAATAATAGAATCACCCTGAACATAACTTTTACAAGAGGCAGGGGCAGGAGGAAATAGTCCGTGGTGCTTTGTTCTTTCCTGTTTGCGTTGATTGATTAGTACGGTCACTGAGGTGACTGAGTTCAGAGACAAAAAACTCCTTTAACATAATATATTATGATTTCTTGGAATTTTCTCTCTGTCAGATTATTCATTGTTTTTGTAAAGTGGCCTGTGGTATCCAAACAAAGATTGTTCTGCGCACGCGCACGCACGAACATCAGAAGTCTTAATTTCCAAATTAGGCCGGGACAAAAGCCAGCAACGAGTTTGTCTTGTAAACAACATTCTCGACAGTTGTGGTTCTTTTTAACCCGACGGTGACCAGCAGACTGCTCGAATACGTTACCACTTGAGTTTCACACAAAATGCTCAGGGTGAATGGTTTAATTTGTCGTCAGGTAACATTTGACCGCAGATATGACAAAGTCCACTTTCGATGTTTCCCATAAAAATTTCCTTCATTAATAACTTAGAATTGAAAGTTAATGTATTCACTTTTCCGAGAAATTCGAAACCGAGATTCAGTTTGTGGCCGGAGCTATTCTTGTGTGACAAGAATATGGTAGACCATCTAAGACCTCACCCAAACGTAAATCATTCAACGCGGTTGATATTTCGAAATGATTTTTAATGAAGCCTAACAGTCATTCTAGTAACAAGAAAAACCATAAAAAAGCAACCAAAAACCTGCTATGTTTTAGCAAGTATAGAATAAACACTGTGGTGTTTTGCAGTCAGCTCTGTCAAACTATCCACAGAACTAAGATCTATCTAAGACCTCACCCAAACGTAAATCATTCAACGCGGTTGATGTTTCAAAATGATTTTTAATGAAGCCTAACAGTCATTCTAGTAAAAAGAAAAACGATAAAAAAGCAACCAAAAACCTGCTATATTTTAGCAAGTATAGGATAAACATTGTGGTGTTTTGCAGTCAGCTCTGTCAAACTATCCACAGAACTTTTCTCGAATCATTACCAGCAGCACGGAAAAAAGTTGCGGAACTCCCTATCATTTGTGAAACAATATTCTCCACCAGAAAACATTTTGATTTATTTTATTGAGCTGTGGCCTCAGCAGCAGAATCAGAATTAAGTTTCCATTCCAATGCTCTCTCGTAGCCTCTCAACATGACAACTCGACGACAATTCAGTGCCCATTTAGGAGGAGAAACAGTGTTCTCGTTTCTTATAAAGTCTCGGAGTTGCAGCCCCAGCGAATGAACTAGATATTTCAAAGATGGAATCTTCATCTTACTTTTAAAGGAAACTAACTGCTTATCTGTACACGAGACTAGAAGAGATGAGCGTAGAAAACGAAGAAAGTCTTCTGTCAAGTCAAGATATTCCACAACAGTAGTAAGTCCCGATGAATTCACAAGTTCGGCATTCTGTGTGTCTTTCAAAGCTGTCCCACATAGTTTATCTATTCCGACTTGATATGGCCTAACGTGAATGATTTCAGGCATATAGTTTCGCGGCCAGTTTTGTGCTTCCGTCAACATCACCGAGTGGGGATTAGCACTGTTAAGAAAGCTCTTGAATTTTGTCAGCATATCTGCTAGGGGATAGAAATCCCACAAGTTGGAAGTGGTTATGCGGTCATAGCTCAGATCTGCAGGTAGGTAAGGGTCGATCTTGAGAAAGTCGCACAAAATAAAATGAAACTTTACCCGTCCACTGGTCATTTTTTCACAGGATTTCTGCAGGATATCTGAGATGTAACTGGTGTACATATGTGGTAGTGATTTAGAGTTGTAGATTTTCTCCATTGCTTTGTAATCCCATCCCGTGAATGGAAACACGTCTGCAGGTATGCTGTAGTGAAATTCAGAGCCTAATATTGAGAGCCTTCCGCGACCAGTCAAGGTTGGATTTTGCTGGGTTAATTCCTTAGATTTTGTTGTGGTGTGAAAGATTCCCGTGTCAAAAAAGTGTTGTGCAGACGCTCTGTGCGCTTTAGGGATGGCGTGTAGGTAATGCCTTATACCAGCCTCTCTTCCTGAATCTGACGAGTGGGCTGCTTTCCTCAGCTCTGTTACCCAAGGTCCTTTGAGCTCTGACAAACGAAGCCACGTGGCCCAAACAGTCTTAAGCTGCCCAAGCTGGGCAGTAGAAACCTCCATCTTGCCATCGGTGATGGTGCTCAGTTCGGCTGTGGCCACGAGGTCTTGAAGGGCTGATATTAGCAGGGTGAAATCTTTCTCAGAAAGGCGGACAGAGTACCAAATACGGACCACTGCAGAAGGGACGCCATTTCCCCCTACAAATGGTGCACAAGAGTTATGGTAAGTTCTAGCTTAAGACTGCATGCATGCGCTTAAGAGAAACAAAAATCTAGTTTATACCAGTACTACAGTATGTTGCCCAGATACCGGCCGGTACCAGTATCCGGCCACTACTGGGAAAACAAAACCTCAAGTATTCCCATTGCAAACCAAATATTTTCTCTATGGAATGTAAATTTTGGCGGGCTTTCAGCTTGAGAAACAGTTGCAGAAGGCACCGTTCTGTTCAGGTGAGTAAAAATATCTCGGCCAATATTTACCCTGTATACTGCGCAGTAAAACTAACGCTGTTCAAATAACGGTTCGTAATATTTTCAAAGACTTTGTTGAATATTTGAAGTGAAGATACCTTCTCCTAAATAGTTAATTTGTCAGAAAATTCATTATTTACTCTTGAAATTTAACTTGTGTGGAATAAAGGAGGCCAGAAACATCCACTATTGTATTGACTTCAGGTGCCCAGTATCCGGCCAGTTTTATCTTCGCTGCGCAAAATCGTTAAATTGGCAGCGTGCATTGTCCGGACTACATAGCTTAGGAAATACATATAATCTGTATAATGTACACTGTAATTCTACTCAATCTGAACTGCATATTTTCTCTCCACAGCCCCAGACTAAACTTGATCGGCCGCTCGCACAGTTCTCCCCACCATAAGCAGTCATTTTATACCCCGTTATGTTTCAGATGCTAGGTTCCTTATTTAAGGCGATTTATATTTTCGGAATGGAATGCCAGACTACTTTGCTAGACCCAGGGGAGCCTGTATGTCGATTGCCTGTCGAAATTTACGTTGTTTTTGTTGTGGTCGGATACTGGGCCTGCTGGCCGGATACTGGGCAACATAGGGGCTCTGCAAAATTATTAATTTCACAACGGACTAAACAGATATTACAGACTAAATAGATCTTCTCTGGGCCAAATTTCACAACTCTTGCGACTAAGGAAGGAAAGTTATAGCAGTTTTAAACAGTTTTAAAAGTGGCCGGATACTGGGCAACACACTGTATATTAATTTACAAGTTAGAGTAAGATAACATATCCTTTCTGAAATAGCATTGATTTTACAATTGTCCATAGAAAGAGAAGTCGTAATCTCTCCTCAAACGATATGCAGCTACAACTCCCTTCAGTTTCGTAGGATGTCACATTTTGAAAGCATTGCACAATTAGTTCCCAATATAAACAAGGGTTTTACAAGTTAAACCGCTACCAAGAATGGTTTTGATAGTATTAATACAATGACGAAAAAAAGAAATTTAAGGACGCCTCAAAGCACCTAGATACCAAGTATACAAGTAACTATAAATATGTATATCCAAAAAAATAAACAACTATCAATCCAAACTACCTTTATATAACATGTATAGAAGCAGAACGGTTCTGGCCAGGGTACAAGGACAGATGTCGTTTATAAGGAAGCTGACTTGTTGTGTATAAACATTAGGTAACGAAGCAATCGTGAGTAGAACATTCCTTGGATCACCAACTCCGCAAAGCAACAAAGCCAGTGGGTTCGAATACTGTTCCCCTTCATTCATCGACAAATTGAGCAGATCCACAGCAGGCACATTACCCCAGTAATAGGTAGCGAGAAGGCCAGGGTTATCCCTTTTTATCTGGTGATGAAACTTAATTTCTTCAACTAATCTCAACGTTTCCTCAACAGCTTTCTGGCAGAAAGTCTTGTGTCTCTGCCAGTCCTTTCTCTGACATTCCGCGTTGCAATAGTAGGATTTCAAACAGTTGGTACACTTCAACATTCCCTCCTGCTTAACGCTGCAGCCAGAGCACTGCATTTTCAACGCTCCTGCATCGCAGTTGGGTTGATGGCGCCACTTGTCTTGTTTCTGACATTGCTTGGAGCAGTAATACGCCACTCCACATCGAGAGCACCGTTGAGTGCAGACTGCCTCGCACCGCCAGCAGTGACCAGGTCTGTTCATGATCTTTGTCTTTTTCCGTTCACTTCTTTACGAGGCACGATTCTTAATTATGAAAGAAAATTACCGTTGTAGATTGCTAACATTGCTATCGTTCATAGTCAGAGAAGTTTACTACTTCTCAAAGGATAAACGGGAATTGATAAAACATCATGTCTTATCTAAGATAATCGAACGACCTCCTTTACAATCTTCTGAAGAATATTTCCTAAGTTTCCGCGAAAAGTCTTTCTAGAATAACTGAGTTAATGTATTCTCTTTTCCGGGAATTTCGAAAGTTATGCAAAGGCATTCAATAAAGACCATACAACCGTGAACAGAATGATAGCACACCCATTGACTTCCCTCCCTCGCCACTAATTTCAACGGTAGAGTAGAAAAATCGAATTAACTACTACCAATTAGCAGATAGAACCTCTTCCAATCCTGACTCTGCTTTCAGATTACCAGTTTTGGTAGTACAGGATATTGATATACAATAAAAGTGGTCCCGATGACGCTTTCCTACCAGTTTTGTTTCTGAAATTTATTGGAGAAGTAAAACGCAACTCCACATCTTGAACACCGTTGAGGAAAGACTGCCTCGTACCACCAGCAGTGGTTGGCCCTTTCATGATTTTGTCTTACTCTTTTACTCTTTCAAGGTTCAGTTAGTTACCTGGCCTGATTCTTAAGTACTAAAGTATATGCGTACTGAATTACTCGGTTAAGGTCTTTTAGTAAGCTACCCAGCTGTTTAAGGAATAATTCGGGCTGAATATACAGCGTTTTTTCGTGGATATTGATACTTGTATTAATATAAATCTAGACCACCGTCCGACGTTCGCACGGGGGGCCTGGCGGGTCTTTTTTGGTCATAGGTAAAGTACACCAGTTTAGTAAAATTACTAAAACCCAGCACTAGTCAAAAGATTTTTAGTAACCAATCATTATGCGACAAGTTTAGAGCGTAGCAATTCTTAGAGCTGGGACTACTAGGGTTATGCCGAGCGCATTTTAGTCTTTGCAAGCAGGCAAGCACTGCTATCTAGCAAGCTTCTTTTAGCTTTTCAAAGAATAAGTAGCTTTCAATAACGTGTACTAGGCTTACGCGTTTATGTTTGTAATAAAGACTGTCAAACCCCAAAGTGTGAACAGGTGGTGGTTTAGCTGATGAGCAATGGCTTTCTGTATGTTTTTATTACGTTGTTATAAGTATTGGTGGTGCTCCTGTAATGCGGCAAAATCAAAGTAACCCTATCTGATCTCTACACAAATATTATGTAATATTGTGTATGCAAATATTGTCATGAAAGATATTAATCATCGTGGATAATGTGTATGAAGGGCTTAGTGTATCGTTTGCCTCACGATTGTCACTGATATTGATCGCGACGTTTCTACCGCACACTGCAGGTCTTCATCAGGCGATAGTGTCGATTTACTGAATCAGACTATTTGTACCACTGTGGTTGTTAGTGATTGGTGTGACACGAACCTCGCTCATGGTTGGTGGGTTTCGATCCAAAGCACTGGTACTCTCGTAGAGTTTAAAGAGGCTATTCAAATAGCACTTCACCCTAATAACATTCACAGGGACAGTGAAATTGATATTCCTGAAGCGTGGATGCCTACAATCAGACAACATAACAGCCGATCGCTACCACAACGGACCGCTGAGAGATCAGTTTCCTCCTCTGAAAATACCTGACCAACAATGCTTTGGATCGAAACCCACCAATCATGAGCGAGGTTCGTGATACACCAATCACTAACAACCAAGGTGGTACAAATAGTCTGACTCAGTAAATCGACACTATCGCCTGATGAAGACCTGCAGTCTGCGGTCGAAACTTCGCGATCAATATCAAAGTAACAATCGTGAGACGAACAATAAACTAAACCCTTTATAGAAATATTATGTCGAGAAATATGTTGTATACAAATAATGTTCACTGTGTACACAAATATATTTTACACAATTATTTTGTATAAATAAAGGTTATTGTATACAAGGCATTTGTATAAATATACAAACGTATTAATAAGTAATTATAAAAGTAAAATTATTTAGTCTGTGTAAATGAATACAAATTATTACCTGAATAAAATGTTCGCCTATAATCAGGTGATAATGGGCCTAAAGATGAATGTTCGTAGTTTGTGTTACAACTGTAACCTCTGTAATCCACGGCACGCCCTGTAGCCTCTTTAAGCCTACAGAGGGAAAGTTAAATACTGAAAATACAAAGAAGTCCGAACCCATGCATATCAGCAACAACCAAGCTACAAGATCGAACAGCAGAGCGTCACCAGTCCTTTAGAATTTAAAGGAACAGAAAAACAAAACTAAATGAATGAAGTTATTAGGAAGTGCAACAACCAACAATTACAACTGTAGCCTCTATAATCCCCTGTAAACCCTGGATACAAATACAATGTATACAAATATTTTATATACAAAATCATGTACACAAATATTTTTTATACAAATGTTACGTATACAAGCATTTCGTCTACAAAAATTATCTATGCATATATTTTGAACACAAAGATTGTGTAAAGAAATATTATGTACACAAATATTCTATATATTGTATAGAAAACCACGTACACAAATATGTTGTATACAGATGTTATGTATGCAAATTTTATAATAAAAATATTTTGCTGCCAACGAGCAGCCTCGCGAAGACGCGAGGCTGCGAGGTGGCAGCCTAATGGAGCAGTGCGCGATTGTTCCAGGGGAAGAAAAAATCTCGAATCGATGTAACAGAGTAATGCAAACATGACGTAATACAGGACAGAGAATGCATTGTTTTCGAGCGAACACGTGATACAGATCAGAGAATCCACGAGCTATGTGCGTGTTTGTGAGTCCCGTGCTCATCCCGTCTTCAACCTATCGTCGGGTGGATCATTTCCATCCTACGCGATATCTGTGGCATTTGCCCGCTGGAATTTTTTATTGCATACCTCTAAGAAAAAAAATAATAACGCAGCGAAATTTTTTGTTTCTTTGAAGCAAAATAATTCGGAAGGTTTTCATTGGCAAACCATAAATTTTTTTAGCTTTAAAAAGAGACCAAATATAAGTCTGTACGTCGAAAATTCGCGGACTTTAATATGATTTATCGAGGATTTTAAGTTTGCTTATAAGACCACTAAACTTTACGCAAAATGACTTGTGCGCAACTTCGGACAAAAACACGAATTTCAAGATCTCGAAAAATTGGCTGCGTAAAGTCGGGATTTCAAATTCTTTATGCAAAAGAAGAGTTTAGTTCACTATTTTCAAAAGACAATGTTGTGTGGAGCTAGCACTTAAGGTGGCTCGATACAGTTTTTCAGGGTCAATACCTCCCACGTTTGAGCGTAAACTACGTCGCCATAAACAAAGATTTGGAAAAATTATCTTATTATTCAGCGGAATTGTCTCAAAGTTTCATTTTCACGTGAACAGCAGTAACTAACAATGCATTTGACATATTCAAAAATACTAGCTATTGTTGTGCACGAAAATATGAAACTTGGAGACAATAACCCTGAATAATGAGAGGCTCTCACTTGTAAACACAAAATTTCTAACAAAATATTAGCGAATTCAAGCCCTTATTTTACTGCCTTACAGTATATCAATAATCTTGAAACTAAGAGGTCATATAAAAGGACGGTTAATCTCAAGATTCTTAAATTTTCTAAAAAATTTATCGAGCGATTTCAAAATTGTTCGCTAATTTGTTAAAGTAGACCGAAATGCTTACATTACCGCTAACAAGAGCGCCTTGATACATACTAATCAAATCCTTCTTTCTAGCAATCGGCTGGAGGTATCTCCATGATCTTTCACACACGTTTTTAAAAAGATTGAAACTACTATGAGGTGAAATTGCATGCCAAAAGCGCTTCGTTTAGTACAGATAACAGTCGAACATCAAGATTGTCCATTATTACCGTATTTCTAACCATAAAAACTTGTTCCCAAAATATCTCCATAACTTTCTTACAGATTTCGCTTAAACTTCACGAACATCCAGGTGGCTGTTGTAGAAAAAAGTTCCAGTAAACGATTTCGGAAGAACAGTTCCCAGTGCCGAGAAATAATGCTGCAAGCAAAATAGGTAATGGCGTCATTTCGTTGCTATGACAACTCCGATGTCATTGCAACCCTGATCATAACAAATTTTCATCTTTATCTAATACATTTGTGGCGACGTAGTTTACGCTCAAACTTGGGAGGTATCGACCTTGAAAAACTATATCGAGCCACCTTAAAGGACTCGCCTCGGCAGGAAAAGGTCTTTTATACACGGGTTTTCCCCGTTCACTGACAAACGGCTATGCCATGCTGATGAGCCCCAGTAAGGGCGAAACAGCTGTCCATCGCTGCCACTGCCGGCGTGATATGGCTGTGCGCATGCGTGAGGTAATGAACAGGCCGTGGGTTAGTCTATGTGTGCCCCTTGCTAAAAGTTACTGGTAACTCGTGATCCACCTTCCCCACGTATGTCGTGGTAGAACTGCTGAGCGGTTCCCAGCCAACAGCTCTCACATGTGTTGTGTGGAGCTGGCGCTTGATAGACTGCTTTGCACTTACCTCGGCAGTAAGGGGTTATTGAAACGCGGGTTTTCCCCGTTCATTAACCGAAAGGCAATAGGCTTATTTAGCAACAGAACGAGAACGTCAGTTGACGACGGTGCGCGCAAATCAAACAACTGGAAATCGAAGATAGACGCAAATTGAGCACCTGAAGTCACATTCAGTCCTTTCCGCGCGCTTTCCCGTTGTCGACAGACGTTCTCGTTCTGTTCCTAATTCAGCCTATTGCCACGCTGGTGGACCCCGATAAAGGCGAAACAGCTGTCTGTGGCTGCCACTGCTCGCGTGATATGGCTGTGCGTATGCATGAGGTACTGGCCCGGCCGTGGGTTGGCGTATGTGTGCCCCTTGCTTTAAGATTGCACTAATTTCAATGCAATCGACTTAAGTTCAATCTATTTTTCATCAATTACTGTATTTCATG